ACTGGCCACTCTTCCTAAGGAGATCTATAAGTGTCCCTCAACCTTAAGTAGCAAAAAGTGTTTCAGCACAGCCGGCCTAAACTAAATTCTGCTCATGTACCCAAAGTATTTTGAAAAATCATCGTGTTTCCTCAACACATCTAAGTTGATACCTAAAATTTTTCATGGGAAGTTAAATAGCCAAAGTATGTACTTTCTGGTGTCATGTAAATACTTTTAAAATAACTGTTAACATCACTCTTTTAAACAATCAGTGTAATTTAAATACCAATACAATTTGACCCCTTCCATTCATATATAAAAATAAAGAACTAGTTCTTTAGTAGAAAATTAAAAAACAAAAAAGACCCAGGTTCTCTGTTTCCCATAGTGAGTGGGGGTTTTTCAACACAATTTGGCTGGATAATTCTTTGTTGTGGGGAGTTGTTTGTGCGCATCCCTGGCCTCTACCCACGATGACAGTCAGTATCAACACCTGCCCCCAGTTGTGATGTGTAGCCTGGAGGTAAAATCCACTGGTGTGAGCAATGGAGATCAAAATGATTCCACAGTATGAAGCAAGATTTGTTTGTGTATCTTCCAAAAAGTCAGTGCCATAAGTATTTACAATATTTGCTCAGTTTTGTTTAGTTTTTGTTATTTGCATTATTTTTAAGCACAAAGTGACATGATGCGCTTTCTATAAAAAAATTCAATCATACAAAGTATATAAAGTAAAAAGGGAAGGATCGCAATCCATGCCCTGTCAGCTCCCATATTATACCTTAATAGCAAATCAATTAGCATCTTCTATTAATTTTGTACCATAATGAAGAGAATCTAAGTCTGAAGAGAATCTAGAGCATTAAACTGTGGCCATGGGCCAAATCTGGCTCTCAGATGTGTGGGGCTCATTGTTTGATTACAATATGTTCATGTTCAAAAATTTTTTCTGGCGGGTGGGCGTGGTGGCTCACCCTATATCCCAGTGCTTTTTGGGAGGCCAAGGGAAAGGAGGATCGCTTGGGGCCTAGGTTTTGTGCCCAGCCTGGCAACATAGTGAGATTCCATCTCTAACAACAAATAAACCAATTAACAGGTGTGGTGGTAATACCTATAGTCCTCCTTACTCAGGAGGCCGAGGCAGGAGATCACTTGAGCCTGGGAGTTGGAGGCTACAGTGAGCCATGATCATGCACTGCATCTACCTGTGTAACAGAGCATAATTCTCTGTATAAAGAAAAAAAAAAACAAATTTGCTCTCCAGAGCTTATGATTCTCTAGGGCAGATTTATGCGATGGGCCAAACTTCTCTCCAGCAGCCACTGTCTTCCCTCATCACACTGACTATCTCACATTTGGCTCACCTAGCTCTCATGTATGTCCATGTCCTGCTCCTTACATGTCCTTGGGTTTGCAACCTCTCAAAGTGTTGTTGGTTCTGGGTTGGTGCTGGCTACTCAAGGTCAAGGTGGGAGGAAGGGGTTTCTAGTTAGGTGGCTGAAGAATGGCTCCATGCCAGGACCCAGGAAGTACAAGAGTACCCCACACACCCTCACGGTCCTGTCCTGCCTTTGGCATGAATGGCACAGAAGATGACCTAGAGACCAGAGAACCTTCCAGATCTTGTGCAGAGGCTGCACTGGGCATTGTTCTGGGCAGCAGATTAATGGGATTACAGGGAGAAAAATGAAAGAACACTGCCATATTTCTGAGGGCACTTCAGGCTGGCCTCTGGTTCATTTCCTCCAGGCTTGGAAGAGCGTGTCTTAGTTCATAATCAGGCGAATTAGACACGGTTGTGTTGCCTCTCTCTGAGGCTCGGACCAGTTTAGGAAGGACTCTGTCCTCTAATGGCAACATTCTAAGATAAAACATGCCACACTCATGTCTATAACCCATGTTGCTCACGTAATGTTCAGCACACATACAAACACACAGTCCCTCCTCCACTTGCCACAACAAAAGGTATGTGTAATTGATTGGCAAATGCCACCTTTCCATCTTCACTGGACAGTTTCAGACAGCATTCCTGATCAGAGGACTAGGGTTAGTGCTGGGAGTAAACACCCACGGACTGTCTGAAGCTAAATGCCCAGCGACCTTTCTAAACCACACACATGGAGCAGTCAGACTACAAATAAACATTCACCGAAAGACTCAACCCCAAATACTGAGACTAAGATCCACACACCCAGGCTATTCGGATGCACTAGCAAGCAAGCAGTCGGCATTCGAGTCTCAGCATTCAGCTCACAAAATCTTTTGAGTGACTACTGTTGTCAGACACTATGCTTAGCAGTACTTGTCCTCAGCAGAAAAAAAAATAAGCCAATAAAATAATTAAAAGTGTGATAAAGTCCTTATGAAGAAAACAGAAATGGAAACAGAATAACCAGGCATTCAAGATCCTATTTAGATAACGACTGGTCAGAGAAAGGCT